GTGAAAAAATCTACTGAGAACATCTATACTAGTTAAAAATAGATATACATTAAAAAATGCTATATATAATTGTTTAGTTGAAGTCTTAAAACTGAGAATGGGATAATTGGCACAAATTTCTCTTATTAACCAAATATTCTTATTTAATTCCATTGCCTAATCCAAACATATTAATTGAAATCTTCTTATTATTCCTTCCAAAAATCATAGGAAAGTCTAAATTCAGTTGGTATTGTTTGTTTGAATCTTCCCATTGATGTTTAGGACCACAATTGATCAATCTCTTATGTGCATACTATGCGTATTGCCCCGATATAGCTTTAATTCACAAGCATTATATACAAAGATTGATAATGGCTAGCAGTGGAATCCAGCACGCGCGTTTCGTCCTATTTGGGACTTAATAGCTAAGTGGATAACGCGGTAGCATTTGAAGCGAGCGGTACTGAGTTCGAGTCCCAGAGTGAATATCGAATCTGAGATGTATGTACATCCAGCTTACGAGTCACAAATAGCATGAAACACTCGTCCTGGATTCCACTGTTAACCATCATTACATAGAAGATTCTCTTTTGTTTTTAATAATTTTCACGAAACACAATATTTGTTAAATATAATAATGTTATGGTTTGTGAAATCTTTTACAAATATATTAAACATAATATGATAATTGAATAGCTGAACAAATATCTAATAATTAAACAAACGGTCAACATTATATGTCAGTGCATTTAGAAGACAACTAGTAACTAAATGTTGGACTGATTATTATTTATATTTTTTATTTTACTAAACATAATGTTAACTAAACTTGCCGGTTACCCACTAATGTCAATATAACTTGTGTTTCATTTTTAATAAATGAATTCTTTATCATGTACACATAACTGTAGAAGGATTAACCCAGTTTAGAAAAAGAATGAAGAAAGAACTAGTCACATTATGTTGTCTTAGGTCATTTAAAAATAGAATCTAATACTGAAGTAAAATCTATTAAATGAACAAAATATTGTATATAGTTGTGGTGACATAATCCATTTTTTTCTTAAGTTTATGTGACTAATGACCAAATGATAATCATGAATGTCATAAACTCAAATGAACGAACTTTATAAAATAGAAAAAACTATACAGCTAAAAGCTGTATTTCCTTTAGTAAATAGAATACGAATGTGTGGGAAATACTTGTCACAATCAACTGTTTTTAATTAAAAATTTAATAGTTAAATTCATGAGTCAGTTGAAGCTAGATTACCATGAGAAACCTGGAAGCACTGGATGGTATGGGACTCTTCAGCAGTGTGATTTCACGATCCCGCCCCAGTAACGTCTAGCTTCAATTAACCAATGAATTCAACTATTAAATTAATAAAATCCTCACATAACCCTCTTCTGATAATTATAAATTTTTTAAAACATAACTGTTTGTAGAAAGATGAGGTGTAGTTCTCTGACTAGCCAACGAAATTAGGATATTACAATTCGGTTACATTTCAGTTCACTTTGCCTAAACTAAAAATAATGTGCAATTATTTAGCATTTTTAAGTTTACTGCATCAGTTTGCTTAAAGAATTGATAATTTAATTGATTGTTTGAGATTTTTAGTAGTCTCGAAATTTGATATGTATTTGGTAGTACTTCGACAAACTTTTCACAATGTAATTAAATAATGATAAATAAAATCGACAAAACCGAAAGTAATTTAAACACATAAAAATAAACTGTGCAAAATGTAACACCAAACTACACAACCCCATTGCCTCCCACTGCTATGAACAACAGCCTTACAGTTAGAGAAAAATCACAATTAAAGAGTTTAAACTGAGTCCTTCAAGATTTGAAATGGGCTTTGTTGTTAAATACCAAGCAGTATTAAACCTTAGAATAAAATTTCTAGGATTTTTTTCCATCTTTGTGTCATCAAAACAGTGAACATGATATATTATCACTTACACTAGTGATCATAATAAATATTATGAGTGTGGTATATGCTACTTATATCAACAGACATAAGTTGTATGTAATATTAGTCGGAATTGGAAAACTGAGACGGCAGAAGGCTATAAAGACTGACTTAAAAAAAGGGAAACGAAAATAGAAAGTAATTGTGACTTCAAAGAATCATGTAGAATCTGAAGAACAAATGATGAAATTTTACATATGAAGTATTCAATATATGTGATCCTCGTATTTTACCAAGAGATTCTATAATATTGTATATAATTACAATTCATTATCTCCACATGTGTTCTTGTTTACAACAGAAGTAATCAAAATTAGACAAACAGAACATTATCTATTGCCGATTCCTCAAATAAAATGATAATTCTTAATAAATCTTTGAATAAGTCTGTTTAATTGCCGACACATCTAAATGTTCAGATGGTAACTTCATTGTAAATATTCAAGATTAATATTCTTTTGAAAAAAGATTGGACATGAACAGCGGTCATTTAAAGTTTTTATACATCAGAAATAATAATAATAATTCAAATGAAACATATAACGATATAAAACTATTTACGATTAGCTAATAATTAACTTAATGTTATGATTACTACTTTGACCTTTGAATCTACCATAAATTATATTTAATTGTGAGAATAAAATGATATGGGACAATTATGCATAGTTTATTATTATTAATAATGGCTTTATTCAATATTATATTTTGGTACAATATAGTATTCTCAGCACAAGGTATTCCGACAAGTTTCGTTTACAAAAAAAAAGAAAAAAACAACGACAAAAAAACAAAAAAGAAGGGAAAAAGGGAAAAAATCTGAAAAACTGTACAACTTTCCAAATTAGAGATATGTTTAAGAATATAGGTTATTGACTAGGTCGACTCTAACAACCTGTTCGTCACAGAGTTTAGAACTTTTATACTTTTGCTTACGTGCGTGGATTCTAATGTAATTACGTCCTGTCCTACCAGAAGATATACAAAGAGAAAAATATGAGTGAAGGGGATGATTAGTATCTGATAAGATAACACCTGTCAGGAGTTTGCATGACTTTAGATGTCTATCCACAACTATATTAATTACAACCTCGAAAGATTCACCACACACCTTGCTGATTGCCTTCAGCACTCTCCACAACACAGCACAGTCTTTTCTCAAAAGTCCGGGAAATGTTTTACTATTAAATAAATGATAGTTATTATATAATTAGTTTCAATGATTTTACTTTTGTATAATGATTTCTGTTTATTCATTATATAATAACATCGTTTTAGAAATCATCTATGTTATTGTTCATAGTAACCATTACTTTATAGTGTATATTACTCGAAGTGTCTAATGATAATTGGTATTCTAGAATGAATTGTATATTATGAAATTCCATAAAGAAATTTAATTTTGTTGTTTATAATGATACATTTTTATATATTTAAAAATGTTTGATAGATTTAATTAGCTGTATTTTAAATATTTTGTTTTCATTAGTCATTGGATTAACTTCAAACAATAGATCCAATTATAACGTATAAGTTATGTAAAGGTCTTAATGATATAAATAGTGGAGTTAGGGATAGTTTCATTATGTGATTGTTTAAAAATGTGATAGAGATGAGTGTTTTTTAAATTTATGATTAAGCATTTATAAATTACCTTTATAAAAATGAAAAAGAGGAGCGGATTTATGTAAAAAAATTTTATTGAAATCATTATATTTTATACTGAATAAGGTGGAATAATGTGAATTTCAGAAATGGTCCTGCGTTCGAATCTCACAGGGCGGGATCGTAGATAAGCAGTGCTGAGGAGTCTCACACTAGAACAGTACAGTTCTTTCAGGTTTACCATGGTAATCTAGCTTACTTACTTACGCCTGTTACTCCTCGTGGAGGAGCATAGGGCGCCCACCAGCACACTCCGTCCAACCCTGTCCTGGGCATTCTTTTCCAGTTCTTTCCAGGTGTTATTCATCATCTTCATATTTGCTTCTGTTTCCCGACGTAATGTGTTCTTTGGCCTTCCTCTTTTAGTGATTTCCTCAATGTATGTCCTATCCACTTCCAACGCCTTTTCCTAGTTTTCTCTTCAGCTGGAAGCTGGTTTGTTTTCTCTCACAGAAGGCTGTTGCTGATGGTATTTTGCTTAGATAACTATTTATAAATACTTGTACCTTCTTGATGATGGTTTTGGTAGTTCTTTACGTTCCAGCTCCATACAGTAGAACTGTCTTGACATTCATATTGAAGATTCTGACTTTGATATTGGTTATCAATTGACTCAAGAACTTAACTATTAAATTATTATAATATCCACAAAAAAACCTCTTCTGATAATATAAAACATATCAACAAATTCATTGTAAGACAAATTATATGAAATATCTAACCAAATGAAACATATTTCTAGGACTATGACTTATTTATTCAATAGTACAAAAAAACACTTTTATATTTCCCTATAACAGATGATTTGGCATACCTTTGAACTGAGGTAAAATCAAAAATTTTAGATTTAATTATTTCAATCAAATATTTATATGATATTAATTCTCAAGATTACTGACTGTTTAGGGCCTTAAGAAGACATATATACCATTTTTGAATATAAACATAATATTGATAACAATGGAATGGTACTTATAAAGTATAATCTGAGACCTAAGGCTATCTTAGATAGTTTAATCAGTAATGTAAACATTTATTTATGTAGGTGATGACTAACTTATTTTTGATAATTTATTTTCGTATAACTATTGTTAATAGTAGTACCAGTAATTTTATAACGACTGTGACAATACTAGAAATTATGTTAAAAAACCAACCTCTGATAAACCCAACTAGGATTATATAAGGAAATAACATGTTACATAACTTGTCCTTATCAGGATTTCTTATTCTTTTAATATAATGTACAACATTGTATTCTTTACTGTCAATGATTATTTCAGTAGTTTATTTGAATTCTTTATAAATATCATTATGTTTAATTACGAAAATTAATTTATACATACCCTATATGTCTTTACTTTTGTTAAGATCTATACATAAATGGAATCATTGAAAGTCAATTTAAAACTGGCTATCAATATATGTATAAATGGAAAGTTATCCATCAATTGTATAATTCCTATAAACTCACTAATGAAACTATTAGAAATAATAAAATAAATAATCAAAGTTATATTATAGAAGGATTAGCAAAGATTGTCATTGGACCAAATTGTGATATGAGATTATCTGTAAGTGATTATATAAATTTTTTATTTAAATGCATCATTTGCATTTTGTAAATTATGATAATCGATATTCAATATAATCCTTAAACTTTGTATACAATTCTTCCTGATAACCGTCACTAGATAATACCGCAATGGTGTATTCATCAGAAGGTGAATATGAAGTGTTGATTATGTATATTATTGCATTAAGCATAGGTCACCAAAATTACACGTACGTTAAGCAAGCATGAAAGAGTAGTGGCAAAAAGTAAGTAGGCAAGCGAGTGAGCGAGTGAGCATGTAAGTAGAATGAACAAGTCAGTGAACAGGATTAAAATGTACATACATATATACATAATCAAATGATTTATTCATTGAATCAATTAAGCGACTAATAGTAAAGCGAACAGAATGAATATATACGTAGGCAATAAGTAAGCAATGCTCAAGCATACAAGTACAATAATAATAATAATCGTACAATGATATACATAAGTTGTTAGTGTACGAATAATTCTATCCGTTAAATAAGTTAACAAAAGGGATTAACCGCATTAAATGTGAATAAACTCAATTGCACGTGAATTTTCAACGCTTTAACGAATAGATTAGTTTATCGACACAATTAAATGAATATGATCAGTAGAGATAATTAGCGCTAGTAAATAGTAATAATGCTACTTATACTTCAGAAGGAAATGATATTATGTTAAATGACATAAATAATCTGTAATAAATTTTTAGTTGTTTTCAAAGTTTCTTTTGTTATGATTATTTAAAAAAAAGTATGTGATTTACATCATTCAACCTTATTAAAATTTCTCTCGACTCGAGTTGATGAAATATAGTTGCTGGTTAACGGAATGACATGAAATGTTTATAATATTACTCTAAAAGTTAAAATCAGAGGTATCAACTACTTGGTTACCATGGCAATGACTAAGATTATTATTACATTTGGAGTAAAGAGCAATTTTGAACCACTACAATCATTACTTGAATAAATATCAAAGAAATTTATTTTTAATTAAGTTTAGAACTATTTAAAATACCATTGAGATAAAGCATCTTCCAATTAATTAGTCACATCTCCTTGATGCATTTTTTCAACCCTATATCACTTAATGTCTTCTATATTAACTTTTCTAAAGACATTTTGTTTTTGTTTCATTTGATGGCTTCCTACATCGACATTACGAAAAAGTTTTATTTTAAAATATTGGAAGTCATGATAACTACTTAAAACAATGGCGTTTTACTTCAGAAGTAAACATCATTTTAGGTAGTTGTTCAAGTCGCATACATATATATGTATGTGAAAAAAGAATATTTCTAATAGAAAAGTATACCTATTAAAAACTATCAATAAATATCCCTTTTCAAATTTATATACATTGATATTTAACGGAAGATAGCATTTTACTGAAACAATGATATACACTAATTGTTAACTTGAATCTTTCCATTGATGTTTAGGACTGCGATTGATCAATCTCTTATTGGCACATGTGCACACCATGCGTATTGTCCCGAAATTGTTTTAATTCACAAGCATTATAAGGAAAAATGGATAGTGACTGGAAGTGGAATCCAGGAAGTACGTTTCGTCCTATTTGGGAGTTGTCAGTTGGATGTACCTGCATCTTAGAGTTGATGTTCACTCTGAGACTCGACATCTTGAGAGTCAAGAAGATACTGATCAACTGAAGTCCTAAACATCAATGGGAAGATTCAAGTAAACAATACCATATGAATTCAAACTTCACCCAATTACACAAGCAACTGTCCATCAGGACTCAGTAGCTAAGTTAATAACATGATGCCGTTTGAATTGAATGGCACTTGGTTGGAGTCCCAGAGTGAACATGAACTCTGAAATGTAGGTACATCCAGCTGACGCTCATTCTGAATTCCACTTCTAGCCACTATCCAACTTTGTTTATAATGATAGACACAATTTATTAGGACTGACCTTTTAACAAAATGATAAGTTTTGAAATGGACAATTATTTCAACTTTTGATGTAATTTAATCTGGACTTATTCATTTTATTCAATCAATGCTAGCAACCAATTATTTTATATACATAATTATAAATCGTTTTGTTCAGCTTCAACAAGTAGAAGAACCTGGAGAAATTCAAACAACTGGAAATTTAACTTATCATGAAAAATATCCAATAAAATTTTGTCTCATTAATGGCAAACTTATATCATTTGAATATTTATGGGAAGATGAAATATCTTCTGTTAGAATTAAAAAAGCCTTATTACTTCAATTGCAAATGTCTTCACAAACATATGGACAACAATTTTATACTGTTGAAGTAAGTATAGTCTATATAATAGACATAAAAGAATTGTTGAATATCTCATTGTATTTATTTTATTTGTATACAGTGGTTAATATGAAAAAAATTACATCAGAAATTACAAATAGTTTAAGTTGGCAATTCATTTGGAATTGTCAAAATGTAATTTGGATTGTTCAAACTGAATATAATGAATGAACTCAAGTTAACATATATGTACATCTGAAATCTTTGAAATACTGATATATTTTAAGGAATTCTAGTAAAATAAAGTTAGGATAATATTTGAATCCCACTGAAACTAAACTATGCAAATTAATATGTTGACTAGATAATGATAGTCGTCGGTTTACATGAAGAAAAAGATTTTCATTATGAATGTACATCCTTATATATTCATGAAATACTCATGACATTTGACCATAATTTGCTTCTTAATTTGTAAATATACATGAAAACAACCTCAATGTCATCAATATATTTCGTGATGTAATAGTAATACTAGTGTAGATTGTTCAGGGAATATTAATAAAAGGAAAGGTAAGTTTGACGAAATGATGACAATTGTAATAGAAATGACAACAGTATACGCAGTAATAGTGTGGGGAATGCTACTGATATCGACAGATATAGGTAGTATGTATCATCAATAGAAAGTGTAATGCCTGACGGTAGAAGATTAAGAAAATCGAAGAGAAGGGAACAAAAACAGAGAGTGATTGGTATGGAAACGAAGGAACAACGGATGGATGTTTTGCAAATGAAGTATTTACGGTATGGTTTTCAGATTTTACCAAGATATTCTACAATGTTGTATTAAAATTCATTTGGTTGTCCCCATTTGTGTTCTCGTTCACTACAGCAGAAGTATTTATAAAAGGAATAAATATCATGTGGTCAAATAAAAACAAAATTTAAAGATTCAAAGATAATTATCAAAGTTTTTTAACAGCAAAGACTAACATGTGTGGATTTGTAAAACAATTACATATAAGATAATGATATGATAAGTGATCAATGAATACAACGATTAGAGTTGTTGGCTTAAACTCACTATCATGTTTGACATCCGAGTAACAAGATCAAACGTTGTCAAAATATATCTGGTAAAACATGATATGTGGATATAAATTGTTTAGCATTTTTAACTTTATATACACTATTGATAACAGTAAGCTTTTCTTTATTTATATTTGATTGTATTACCTACATGATGATTTGCTATTTATCAAAAACACAGAGTTCTACTTGTCTAATGCTGTTTATATGCATATCTATAAATATAAATATTTAGTAAAAGAAGATCGGGTTTAAAACAAAACACTAACTTCACTTGGCATTATTTACTTGAATCTTCCTATTGATGTTTAGGACTGCAATTTATCAATCTCTTATTGACAAATGTGCATACTATGCGTATGGCCTTAATTCACAAGGATTATATACAAAGATTGATAGTGGCTAGCAGTGCAATCCACTGTGAAGCGATTTTCGTCCTATTTGGGACACGTCAGTTAAATGTACCTGTATCTCAGAATTGATGTTAACTCCAGGACTCGAACCCATTACCATTCGTTTCAAACGACATCGTGTTATTCACTTAGTCACTGAGTCCTGATAGTCAGTGGGAAGATTCAAGTAAACAATACCAAATGAATTTAAACTTCACCCCATTACACAAGCAAGTGGTTATCAGGACTCAGTGGTTAACGTAATGGCGTTTGAAACGGACGTTACTGGGTTGGAGTCCCAGAGTGAACATGAACTCTGAGATGTAGGTTCATTCATCTGATGAATCCCAAATAGGATGAAACGCTCGTCCTGAATTCCACTTCTAGCCACTATCCATCTTTGCTTTGCAAACATTAATTTATTCTTTCTTCTTTTAATAAAGGAAAAAGTAATCAAAACACTATTTATAACAGTTTTAAAACTACGAAATGGTTTCAAAATACAAACATTTCAATGTCCAATTATTTAGAAAAATTGTTTATCAACAGAATTCATTATCATATTTTGACATATTTTGTCTTTGAAATTTCTAAAAATTTATTAAAATTTAATTTAATTAATTGATTATTAAGTGTGATTAAATTAAAACATATTTTCCAAGATTTTATTACCAGAAATGAAATTTAATAAATTATAAGTAGTTTGATATGAATACAATAAGATCTTAGTAATTTTATGGTTGAATTCATAATTCAATTAAAATTAAACCATCATAGAAAACTTGAAAGCACTGGATGGCCGTTTCGTCCCAGTGTGGGACTCCACAGTAGTGCGAATCCACGATCCCGCCTCGTGACATTTGAACTCAGGACCTATCGGTTTCGCATGCAAACGCTTCACTTCTAGACAACTGAGCTGACATGCATCTAACGGTGTTAATGTTTAACTTAAACCAATACACGAAATTGAATAACCATCCAACATTATCTTCAGTTAGCTACTACCTCAAGATAGACCCGGTTCAAGTCCACTGCCTACTGCTTCTCACTAGAACTCCAGGAAATCCAGTTAAATTTATTTACGTCAAGAGTTTTCACTTGAAAATGTATAGCGAATGAACTTTTAGGTGGGAAGGCCAATTTATTATTTAATGTACAATCACATAGTGGTTTAGTAAAACTGTGAACATTATACATCAAATATATCGTTGGCATGTTTTTTTTTCGAATTATCTCTTACAAAAACAATTGTTCGTTCATTCCTGTTGTTATCTTTGATTGCTTTAAGTTTTTTCTCTCTTCTCTTCATTTCAATTTTTTCACACTTCTAATCGCAGACATTCCACTTCTAACTTTTTTTCATACTACTTATATCTGAAAATATAAGTAGCATATACCGCAAATGTACCTAAAAAATTGAGATTATTTTATTCAAGAATTTATGTAACACAACAACTACATGCATACTATGTAACAGTTGTCAACATTCAATTTAAGGAATAATTTAACTTCGACATACAAACTGTTATCAGTTCGGTTATTTTAATTGATTAAATGAATACGTTCCACATAGTTATAAGATTAATACTTTACTAATGAATGATTTTATTGTACACAGTTACACAATTTAACTCTTGTTTCTGGGATTAATATATGTAATCATTATAAAAATACTCTTGATAATGTTCGATAATCGTTTAGTCAAAGAGACACAGTGGTTTGAATAGGAAAGTGTATAATTTACCGTTTATAGCCTAGTAGAAGCTTTATCAAGATTACATCTAAATAGAAGTTGAAGTGTGTTAATGCTATACGAAATACAATGAATTCGCTTCAGTATTTATATTATCTTATTTTTACTTTATTTAAATCTATGAAAAAATCTATTTCATGGAAATGTAATATCCCGGAATCATAAAGAAACAAAATCTGCTTACGCCTTTTAAGATCAGTTGTATTTCCTTATTTTCTATTGATTGCTTAAATCTTTCTATTCATGTTTAGAATTGTATTTGATCAGTCTCTTATCGGGATATGTGCATCCTACTCAGATTGCCTCGATATTGCCTTAATTCATAACATTATAAACAAGGATGGATGGTGGCTAGCAGTGGAATCTAGGACACATATTTCATCAGTTGGATGAGCCTGAACAAGCTGATGACTATCTGGACTCGATAGCTAAGTGCATAACGCGATGGCGTTTGAAGCGAACGGCACTAGGTTTGAGTCCTTGAGTGTACATCAACTCTGGGATGCAGGTATATCCAGCCGAAGAGTCCCAAATAGGATGAAAGATGTGTCCTAGATTCCAGTGTTAGCCATCACCCATCTCTGCTTATAGTTGTATTTATGTTCGTTGGTCGTTTCTACCAAGTAACTAATACTGTTAATTGTTACTTATTATAAAGCTGAGATCATAATTTAATTGAAACTAGACCACCATGGAAAACCTGAAAGCACTGTACGGCCGTTTCGTCTTACTGTGGTACTCCTTGGCAGTATAAAGCCACGACCCCGCCGGGTCAGTTGTGAGATAGTAACTCATTGATGACAATGGTGGATATGTCGCTCAATTTCATTAACACATTAACACCTTTGGATGCCGGCTTAGTGGTCCAGTAGTTTGAGCGTTCGCACGCGAGAATGAAGGCCCTGGATTCGAATCCCGCGAGCGGGATCATGGATATGCACTGCTGAGGAGTCCCACAATAGGACGAAACGGCCGTCCAGTACTTCCAGGTTTTTCATGGTGGTCTAACATCATTCGGTTCATGATCTCAATCAAAAACATATAAGAAAAATTTAATTCTTAAGCTTGAATCCATTGTTATAGTAACCCTAGTAACATTTAAAGTCACATAGGATGTTATAATTTATCACTAATATGAATTACTCGTAACATTTGTCACTTTTTTTCATATTCCAACTTATTTTAATTGATTGTTAACGATTGTGAATAAATTTTATGACATTTATTTATATAATAAAATGTTAGTTCATTTCTTCCGGTAATTAAATAATCACAAATGTTAAGTAAATTGTTGTATATATTTTCTATTGAATTTATTATTTAAATTAAAAATTATATTATATTTGATGAAATATTCTCATTTAAATTGAATATCTAAATATTATTATTTGATTAGAATGTTACTATGATGGTCATAAAGACAATCACTTAATTTTAAAGGTAGAATACAATGATAAGATTGATTAATTTGAAATTGTTCCATGTTATGCATTCAAAGATTTACTTACTTACTTACTTACTTACGCCTGTTACTCCAAATGGAGCATAGGCCGCCGACCAGCATTCTCCAACCCACTCTGTCCTGGGCCTTCTTTTCTAGTTCCATCCAATTCTTGTTCATTTCTCTCATTTCTGTCTCTATTTCCCAGGGTAATGTGTTCTTTGGTCTTCTCCTCCTTTGGCCTTGAGGACTCCATGTGAGGGCTTATCTTTTGACACAGTTGGGTGCTTTCCTTAATGTGTGTTGTATCCACTTCCAGCGCTTCTTCCTGATTCCTTCCTTTACTAGGATCTGGTTTGTTCTCTCCCAC